CTTTTGCAAAGTATCAGGTTAACTGTCTATTAAAGACTTAAAAAGCCAAGGTTAAAGATCTGATCACAGTGTGTTGACAAAAAAGCTTAATCAAGTTGCTCGGATATAACCAGAATTATGGCTGATAGATTATTCCAGGACATATCTATATTTCAGAAACTTTATATAATTTCTAGAATATCTACAGTAGTAACATTTATCCATACCGTATAATCTGAGAAGATTTATCACTCATTTGACAATGCTTCCCGTGTAATTCAATATACCAAATAATACTAGTTAAATATTCCTCTCTGAGATGCCTCAGGGGCCCTCTTAAGCATCCCGAAGTTAGCTGGAGGTCAAAAGAACTTTAATTAAAATTTGATATTTGGGAAGTTTTTCAAAAAGTTTCAAAACATTTCGTTAAATAAGATCATAGGTCACTATAAGACATTACTTATTTCTTATCCAAAGTGAGAAGAGATCTCAAAAGCCAATACAGATCACTTAAAGGCAAGGAAGTTCATATAATCTGTTATCAAAATCAACATTCTAAGTAAACTTGTTCTCTTAGCAGAGAGGAACCAAATCTAGTCTTGCACTACCCTACTTTTAATAACAAATTCCATTTACCTAACTAAGTTTAATCTAATCTCAGCCTGACCATGCATAAAACTCCTTTTTTGCTCAAAACATATAATAACTGCTTGTCATACCAGCATTTTTTTTTTAACAACTTTATTGGAGTATAATTGCTTTACAATGGTGTGTTAGTTTCTGCTTTATAACAAAGTGAATCAGCTGTACGTATACATATATCCCCACATCTCCTCCCTCTTGCGTCTCCCCCCACCTCATCCCACCCCTCTAGGTGGACACAAAGCACCGAGCTGATCTCCCTGTGCTATGCGGCTGCTTCCCACTAGCTATCTATTTTACATTTGGTAGTATATATAAGTCCATGCCATTCTCTCACTTTGTCCCAGATTACCCTTCCCCCTCTCCGTGTCCTCAAGTCCATTCTCTACGTCTGTGTCTTTATTCCTGTCCTGCCCCTAGGTTCTTCATAACCTTTTTTTTTTTTTAGATTCCATATATATGTGTTAGCATACGGTATTTGTTTTTCTCTTTCTGACTTACTTCACTCTGTATGACAGATTCTAGGTCCATCTACCTCACTACAAATAACTTGATTTCGTTTCTTTTTATGCTGAGCAATATTCCATTGTATATATGCACCACATCTTCCTATCCATTCATCTGTCGAGGGACACCCAGGTTGCTTCCATGTCCTGGCTATTGCAAATAGAGCTGCAATGAGCATTGTGGTACATGACTCTTCTTGAATTATGGTTTTCTCAGGGTATATGCACAGTAGTGGGATTGCTGGGTCATATGGTAGTTCTATTTTTAGTTTTTTAAGGAACCTCCATACTGTTATCCACAGTGGCTGTATCAATTTACATTCCCAACAACAGAGCAAGAGGACTCTCCTTTCTCCACATCCTGTCCAGCATTTATTGTTTGTAGATTTTTTTTTTTTTTTTTTTTTTGCAGTACATGGGCCTCTCACTGTTGTGGCCTCTCCTGTTGCGCAGCACAGGCTCCGGACGCGCAGGCTCAGCGGCCATGGCTCATGGGCCCAGCCGCTCCGCGGCATGTGGGATCTTCCCGGACCGGGCACGAACCCGTGTCTCCTGCATCAGCAGGCGGACTCTCAACCACTGCGCGACTAGGGAAGCCCGTTTGTAGATTTTTTGATGATGGCCATTCTGACTGGTGTGAGGTGATACCTCATTGTAATTTTGATCTGCATTTCTCTAATGATTAGTGATGTTGAGCATCCTTTCATGTGTTTGTTGGCAGTCTCATACCAGCATTTTCTGATTGGAAACTTATGCTTTAGTTTTCCTCTCCTCAGAATGCAAAGGCAGGTAAACTTAGATTTGCCCAGCAACCAATGTTCCAATATTTTATCCTATTTGATTTTTGTTTTTTGGCCGCACCGCGCACCATGCAGGATCTTATTTCCCCGACCAAGGATTGACCCCGTGCTCCCTGCAGTGGAAGCTTGGAGTCCTAACCACTGGACTGCCAGGGAATTCCCTTATTCTATTTGAAATGACCCAGATAGTCAATAAATTCTTGCCATTTAACTTAGTTCAGTTTCAAGTTACCAAAATCTGGAAAGGCTATTTGATTTAATTGTTTTATTTATTTAATTTTTTGGAAAGGCTATTTTAGATAGACTTAAAGTTTCGTCATATCAAGTTATTTTCCTTGCTGACAAATTTGCAACAGATATAAGGTCTTATTTGATCTCTAGTATACCTAGATACAACAGAAGTATTACACTTAACAAACCAATAAGCTTCAGCTGCCTTCAGTACCAGATATCAATTCAGTACGGCGTATTTCCAAAATCATGAGGACCTGAAATTCATTTTGGCCAATTTTCTTTCTTTCTTTCTTTCTTTTAAAATTAATTTTTATTGGAGTATAGTTGCTTTATAATGTTGTGTTAGTTTCTGCTGTACAGCAAAGTAAGTCAGCTACATGTATACATATATACCCTCTTTTTTGGATTTCCTTCCCATTTAGGTCACCACAGAGCATTGAGTAGAGTTCCCTGTGCTATACAGTATGTTCTCATTAGTTACCTATTTTATACATAGATATAATCTGTGAATCCCAATCTCCCAATTCACCCCACCCTTGGACAATTTTCTAAATATTAGGAAGTATTTAATTTGTAAGTGCTTACTTTTAAGTCTATGAAATACAGCTCATTTACAAGTTAATTCAGCAATATTATAACTGAAAGCGGTCCAATTCTGGAGAATGCACCTCAAGGGGCTGCATTTGGGAAACAAATTTGAGTTTCCCATAGCCAGCACACTTAACACACAAGACAAATGCAAACATACACACAAAGAACAAAATCTAATTCCTGCAGGACAGAAACAAAAGGGTGAAGTCCAACAATTTCCTTAACTTTTTCAAACAAGGATCCCTCTTTTTAACAACAAACAACATGCAAATGGAAAGACAGGAAATCATGACTGTGTGTGTCATGGCAATTCACCTGGCAAATGCAAAACCAAAAATAACAGTTGAAATAGTAAAATTTACTTAGTTAACTTCAAGATTTCTCCTAAAAATATTTTTATTTTCTCAGGGTCAGGATTCTGAAAAAAGTATTCCATCAAGCCAGCTTTCTCTAACTGCATATGCAAAAAGAACCAGTTTTGGAATTTCAAAGGAGTTTCATCATAACCAATTTTCCTCTTAAGTCTAAAGACTATAGTGGCCACACAGTGTTCAAACAAACAAACGAACTTTCTCTCTCTTTCTAGGAGCATACTAAAAATTTCCCAGTTTTGCAAAATACACTCTAGGGGGCCTATAAAATGGAAAGAGCTCTGATTATCACAGCAGGCATTATCAAATATCAACCAAACAAATGCAACGCCAAACGGTCTTGCAGGATCACAGTTCCCTAGCACCAAAAAGGGAGCTTCCCAATCACTGCAAAGGGAAAATCCCAAACATCGCTTCACCACAGGCGAATCCCAACAAAATAGGGAAGGATACCTGGTTGTCATCACACTCGCTCCATTATTCACCAAAGACGTCTCAACTAGCCAGTGCAAGTACTGATTCACACACATACAACATAACAAACACGGTCCCACAAACAAAAGTCCCACAAAAAAAAGCAAACCAGAGTGGCTCACCCCAAAATGATACACACAAAAACATAACAGATAAATTACCATCACACAGACAGAAAATCAGAGGAGTTGTAGTCTAAATTCCACTTCCATAAGTCAGAAGGAGAAAGACAAATACTGTATGATATCATTTATATGTGGAATTTAAAATATGGCACAAATGAATCTACATAACAGAAACTGACTCATAGACATGGAGAACAGACTTGTGGTTGCCAAGGGGGAGGAGGGAGGGAGAGGGATGGACTGGGAGTTTGGGGTTGGTAGATGCAAGCTACTACATTTAGAATGGATAGGGACTTCCCTGGTGGCGCAGTGGCTAAGAATCTGCCTGCCAATGCAGGGGACACGCATTTGATCCTTGGTCCAACTAGAGAAAGCCCATGCACAGCAATGAAGACCCAATGCAGCCAAAAATTAATTAATTAATTAATTAATTAATTAATTAAATTAAAAATTATTTAAAAATAACGGATAAACAACAAGGTCCTAATGTATAGCACAGGGAACTATATTCAATACCTTGTGACAGACCATAATGGATGGAACAGAATACTGAAAAAGAATGTCTATATGTGTGTAACTGAGTCACTTTTCTGTACCACAGAGATTGACACATTGTAAATCAACTCTATTTCAATTAAAAAAAAAAAAATTCCACTTCCACTCCCAGACAGAGGCCTCCAAACAGAGTTGACCAAGGGACTTCCTTCGTGGTCCAAGAGTACGCCTTCCAATGCAGGCGACGCAGGTTCGATCCCTGGTCCAGGAACTAAGATCCCACATGCAGCAGAGCAACTAAGACCACACGCCCTGGAGCCTGCGCACCGCAACTAGAGAGAAGCCCACACAACGAAGAGCCCGCGGGCCGCAGCTAAGAACCGATGCAACCAAATAAATACCTGAATATTGAAAACAAAACAAAAAAACCAGAGTGGCCCAGCTCTCAAAAGCGAATGGGCCCAAAGTGGCTCACTTCCCGCAAGGGAAGCAGCGCAAATGGGGTGGAGAGAATTCCCAGCCTGTGCAAGCTGGAGCGACTTACCCCCAAGTGACACTGAATGTGGACCACAGCTCTCTGGACTGCTCCAAACAGCCTCGAGCGGGGAATGGGGGAAAGGTTGACTGCTGCCTCAAGGCCTGGGCCCTGGCCAGTGGGCGGCTCTGGCGAGGGCCCGGGAGCTCTGGAGAACACATCCCCCAGCCTGTCCCTGGCCTCGCAGCTCACCCATCAGCCAGAGGGCCTGGAAGGCCCCGGGGAGAACGCTGCCATTCACCGCTCACCGCGCTCTCCGCCTCGAGGACCACCTTGAGGCTGACAGTCAGCGAAGCCGGACCTCTAACTGCCGCGGTAACGGTCACGTGATAACGGTCTTGCGCTAATGGGTCGCATGCGCGCGCGCCTCAAGGGCTGCACATGCACCCTGCCCCTAGTACTAAAACGCTTCCTGGAGTTTTTGAGAACTTTAACAATATCAACTTGGAGAAGTTTAACAATGTCAACTCCTTCTCAAGTGTTTTTTACCCAGTAACTACGTGTGCCCAGTACTCGGCTTAATTCCCCTGGCAAGTTGAGGAATAGAAGATGTATTGGGCCTCACCCAGGACCTTGGGCTCCATTTGGGGAAATGGAGCACTCATATTAAAAGTTTGTTTTCTTTCCATCAGTGATTGGGAGCTTGAATCAGGAGACACTCAGCCAGCAGGGGGATGAGGGCAGGGACAAGACTCCTAATTTGGAGGAAGACAAATCTGAGTACAAATTGGGGCTCTTCCCCTCACTGAGTTCCATGAAACTGGGGGTGAGTCAGTTTCTGTCACTGGGGCTCAATTTCCCAGGCTGTAAACAAGGAATAGCAACGCCTACCACAGTAAGTCATGGTGGGAATGAAAGAAGATAACATGTATAAAGTGCCTAGCTTGGTCAGTATTATAAATCCCTCCAAAGTGAGGAAATCAACAGGTTCCCCCTCCCTTTTATTCATTTATTTATTTGACTGCACCACGCGGCTTGCAGGATCTCAGTTCCCCGACCAGGGAATGAATCCAGCCCCAAAGCGATACGTCCTAACCCCTGGACTGCCAGGGAATTCCTCCCTCGCTTTTAAAATGTTATTTTTTAATTTTTTTAATTTAAATTTTTATAACTAAGAACACAAACAGAATTATACATAAAAAAATACTGATTTTGATAACAATAACAACAACAAAAAAAGACAAGTTAAACAACAAAAAGAGTTTCCTTTCTTACAGGTGGACATTGAAGTGGACCTAATTCGTTTTTCTTTTTAAAAGCCTCCAAAGACAAAAGCAGCTTAAAATCTAATTAAAATGAATAAAAAATGTTTTCTAAATTACTGGTACCATTTTCTGTTTTCTGTTTTCTGCTGTTTTGATGCAGGTTCTTCTTTGTCTGTTTCTTCTCTTGCTCTTTTTACTGGTCTAGATGCACCATTTTCATCATGTTCTTCATCACTGTCAAATTTAGTTTTCTTGCCCTGAAACTGTACTTTTCCTTTAGCAGACGCAATCTGGGCAGCTTTATTTCCCTTTCCTTTTCCTTTAAATCTGCGACCTTTTGATTTCCATTTGTTTAGGGATTCTTGTTGATCTTCTATTATTTTTTTCAACGCTTCTTTTTCCACATCACCTTCGAGTACTTCCCAGGTGACCTCTTTGTTCCTTAATTGTTAGGTTACCATTATTTGCGTCTTTTGCTTTATCCAGTGCTTCCTTAGCTTTTTCTTTAAACAGAATTATTCCCTTTGGCTCCTCTGACAAAGTCTATCCATTTTATTTCACCATGATTTGAGAAAAGGATATGCAAATCTTCTCTACACGTCTGATCATCTAAGTCCCCCGAGAATTTCAGCAAGCAGCCAATCTTTTCTTCTAGAGATTTCATTTCAGCATTTTCTGCTTTTGTTTTTCTTCTTGCTCTTGTTTAGCTCATAATTTAGCTTCGATTTTATTTTGCTTTCTTTCTTCATTTTTTTTTGCAAAGTAATCTTCCTTGAAAAGTATTAGCAGGTCTGTGTCTTTGTACTTCTGGCCAGGGGTCTCGACAAACTTCTTAGCAGATTCAATGGTATCAAATGCAGCAAATACTGATCTCTTAAATGCTTTGTGCAGTGTTCTTCTCATCTGAATATTTAGTACCTGACCTTTATCTTCCAACCATTATTTTATGTCATCAAGGGTTGCATCAATTGGGAAGCCTTTAATATAAACAGATCTGTTTTTTTACCTCATTTTTATACTCATCAGTCACTTCAGGGAGGGGTTTGCTTGGAGATCTTCTGATTTTAGTTTTATCTTCACTTTTTTCCATAAGTTCCACCTTTGATTTGCTCAATGCTTCTACTATTACATTAAAGTCTGTTGTTAGACGGTTTAACCTATTAAATTTTATCATTATCTCCAAAGGTACCCAGACTTCATCCAGTTTGATCTATTCCTTTAAAAATTTGTCGCGTGGCAAATTGAAGTCACCAAAATAATACTCGATTTGATGACAGATTTTGGCCTCCAGAGCAGCCATTTTTTCATTATCACCATTTTCTGCCATCCTGGCTATCTTTAAGTTCCCGGTCCCACAGAGACGTGCCACAGGGTCACTAACGGCGACAGCAACGTCTCCTGTCCCTAGCCTAAAATGTTATTTTAATTATGGTAAAAAAAAACACATAAAATTTACCATCTTAATCATTTTAAATCATATAATTCAGTAGTGATAAGTATATCCACATATTGTGCAATCTGTAGAACATTTTAATCTTGCAAAACTGAAACTATACCCATTAAACAAAAATTCCCCATTTTCTCCTCCCCCTTGTGCCTGGTAACCACCATTCTACTTTCTGTTTCTATGAACTTGACCACTTTAAATACCTCCCATAAGCAGAATTATGCATTTTTTGTCCTTTTGTGTCTGGCTTATTTTACTTTGCAAAATGTACTCAAGGGTCATCCATGTTGTAGCATGTGACAGGAGTTCCTTCTTTTTTAAAGTTGAGTAATATTCCATGGTATGAATATACCACATTTTGTTTATCCATTTTTCCTCAGTGGACATTGGATTGCTTCCACCTCTTTGTGGAATTGTGGATAACACTGCAATGAACAAAGGTGCACAAATATCTCTTTGAGACCCTGCATTCAATTCTTTTGGATGTGTACACATCCAGAAGTAGGACTGCTGGATCATATGGCTATAGTTCTATTTTATTTTTTGAGGAAGCTCCATACTGTTTTGCGTAGCAGATGCATCATTTCAAAATCCCACTGATGGTGCACACTACTTCCAATTTCTCCGCATCCTTGTCAACACCTGTTATCTTCTTTTATTGTTTTTTTAAGTAGCCATCTTGATGTGTGAAGTAAACAGGATCTCTTTTTTGCAGAACTATTATCATTTCTTCTCACCACTCCAGAAATGCTGCCAATGAGTCCGACTGCAGGATTGACCCAGCATTTGGTCAAAGGAGTGTGTTTTGTCTGTGATCCTTGGAGAGTCAAGCCAAGTTGGACAGGGATGCCAGGGCTTTCAACCTGCTGAGAGCTGTCCACTGTGGCCTGCAAATGGGGAGGCGCACACACAAGCTGCTAAGGTTGGCCAAGTCTGCTACTATATTTGCTTTGGCTCCAAAGATCCCATAAAGGAAACAAGGGACCTGCTGCGGGGGGGTGGGGGTGGGGGAGCAGATTCCCCCCCGCCCCCCGCCCCATGCAGCCCTTCTCATCCTTCTCAGTGACCTCTCCCCACTGTTATCTTGCTCCTGACATGTCTCCTGAGATTACCTTTGGTGAAGAAACTCTTGTTGAGAAGTTCAAAGCCAGGGGTTTGGGGCTCTGTTGAAGGACTCTGGGGGTGGGGCCTCGAGGCACTACGGAGACCAAGTAAAGAGGTGGCTTGCATGGGGTGCTGCACAGCTGGAAGATGTCCCTGCAGTTGGGAAGCTACATCAAAAGCTCAGGTGCTGCCCAGGAGAGAGAGATGAGCAAGAGAAAATTCCAGATATGGGGCCCTGCAGAGAGAGAATCTCAATCTATGAGGGGTGCAGCTGAGCAGGGCCAGTGGTGCTTCCCCAAAGAGACAGTGAGTGCAGTGGTTAGACCATGGCTTGTGAAGTCAGAAGAGACTGGGGTTCAAATCTGACCCGGCTCCACCACTTACCAACTGTGTGGTCTTGGGCAAGTTATGAAGCCTCTCTGAGCCTCAGCTGCATCTTTTTTTTTTTTTGTGGTACGTGGGCCTCTCACCGTTGTGGCCTCTCCCGTTGCGGAGCACAGGCTCCGAACGCGCAGGCTCAGTGGCCATGGCTCACGGACCCAGCTACTCCGCGGCATGTGGGATCTTCCCGGACCAGGGCACGAACCCGTGTCCCCTGCATCGGCAGGCGGACTCTCAACCACTGTGCCACCAGGGAAGCCCTGCATCTTTAAAATGCGAACAAAAATGCAACCTCTGTGAGTTATTATGAGATCAGTATCAGTATTGTTTATCACAGTAGCTACTGTTTTTTGTTTGTTTGTTTGTTTTCTGTTTTTTTGGCTGCATCATTAGGCATGCGGGATCTTAGTTCCCCAATCAGGGATCGAACCCGTGCCCCCTGCATTGGGAGCACAGTCTTAACCACTGGACCTCCAGGGAAGTCCTAGCTACTGTTTATTAAGCACTCCTCCCCCCACCACCCAGTGTGCCAGGGGCTTTGTCAAGCACCTGCTAAGCATGCAGTGTGATAACAGAGGTCAAGTGTGAAGGCTCTTGGTGACTGATAGACCTTGGTGAAAAGCCCAAACCTGCTACTTGTTAACTGTAGGACCCCAGACAAGGCTGTTAACCTCCCAGCGCCTCAGCCTGCTCGTCTTTAAAATGGGGATGATAAATGGGAATGATAACACCTGTCTCCCCAGGTATCACGCAGTGCTTTCCTTCAAGGGTTCATAACACGCCTTTGTCACTTCCATCTTCCCCATGCAAATGGGAGGGGTGGGATGGGGTGTCCCGAGGCTTTGAAACCGTCCTGGTGTTTACCGCAGCCCAGAGAAGAGACTCAGTGGAACTCGTGACTGGAAAGATCTGCAGGAGATTGCATGTCCTGGAATGAAGATGCCATCAGACTAGGGCACTGGAAGAATGCTGGCCTGACGTCTGGGGGCCAGGAGAGAGGGCAGTTGTCCTGTTCAAAGGGTGGGTCTCCCAAGAGACCCAGTGCTGACTGCTCAGTCTCTCATTGTCCCTGGGAGAGTGTCCGGGGCACACTTGTCCTGCCTCCGTCCTTGCTGAGAGCTGGCCCCGGCTGCCGGCTACAGAGCTCCCTCCATCCACCCCCTTGCCATCCAGCATGTGCATGCTGCCTGTGCGTGGTCGGATTCCTGAGTTTTCAGCCTCGCTGCCCTCCAATCCCAGGCGCAAACCGGTCCCTGTCACCAGAGACTTTTCTGTGAGGCTGACACAGCAAAGGGAGCCGAGATGGTCTCTCGTCAACACAGACAGAGCAGGAGAGAATAAGAGCTGGGGTGGGGGGGGGCCCTGGCTGAGCCTGAAGGGACTCAGGGCCGGCCCCTGGGAGCGGCGCTGACCTGAGCAGCTGGGCCAGCTCTTCTTTCCCTCACCCGGGGGAAGGCTCCGAGAACCAGCCGGCTAGTTCCTCCTCCTCCAGGCCTGTCACCATTTCCACACACAGCAGGGTCTGGGGGTGGAGGCTTTTTCCAGACATGTATTTAAGTAAGGAGAGAAAACAAGGCGAGTCGCCCAGGATTTGCCAAGTCAGTAGGCAGGAACACAACCCGAGAGGCCAAAAATAAGACAGCGGCGAGGGTCACCCTGCTCTCCTGAGCTGGAGACAGTTTACAACCCGTGCTGAACACTCCATAATCACACTTTTGTTTGAGGATGCCCCTTGATCCCAAGGCATCGGTCTCCTGGTTGGAAGGTAGCTGAGCCCTGATTGTGGGCAGTGAGTAATGGTGACTCAGGGAAATTCGAAAGGACACAGGGAACACCATCGAAGTCATCTGGGGACATGCCCTGGTTCCCCCTGCCGGTCAGGGAGCCAGGAGTTCTGGTCTCCATTGTAAAGGAGGAATTTCTGAAGTTTTCTCTGGAACTTTGGCAGAATTCTATGGGCTCTTTCACAGGAAGCATTATGCTATGGGTGTTTTTTTTGGAGGGGGGGAATTACTAAGATTTCTTTCACCTTTATAGCTATTTATGGATTAGCTCCTTTTCTCTTTTAGCTCCAGATTATACTCGTCTCTTTATTCTGATGGAGCATCTGTTACCTTGTATGACAAACAGCACTCCAGAAAGCAGATAATGACAGTAATAATGGCTAACATTTATTCAGCCCTTATGGCATGCCAGGTACTGGTCTCTCCATATATTTTTGTGTTTTGTCAAATCTGAGGCTCCATCAATCTTCAGATATTCCACATATGATGTATCACTAAAGGATGCTGCCAATTAATCCATGACATGCCATTGATTTTAAGACTCACTCAGATTTCAGAAATGTCAAAACAGGAATGTTAGAATCAATGAAATCCAGTAACCGATTCTCAGTTGTCATCCTTGCCTTACAGATGGGTAAACTGAAGAACAGAGAGGCTGAGTAAAGCTGCCTGAAGTCACACAGCGAATATGTGGTGGAAATGGAACACGAACCTAGAGTCAGGTTTCAAAGCCTGGGCTTATAACCACTGTGCTGTATTGTGTCTGAGAAGTGGTTTCTGTCTATCCATGGGCAGGACAGAGGGAAGGACGCAAAACACAAGAGGGAAAGTTGGACCCCACCCTCTGCTCCCTCTTTCTCATCGTCCCCAGAGCCAGTGTGGATGTCCCTTCTAAAAACTGCTCCCAGATCTTGCTGCTCCTCTCACTCCCAGCAGCTGGCACCCTGGTTCTGTCCTTCCTTGACACTCTCTTGCCCCTGCTTGGATTATTGCAGTAGCCTCTTAGCTGTCCCCCTCCTCCAATTCCGCCCCCCCCCCCACCTCCATGCACACTGACCCAGAGTCATCTTCTTAAAATGTGAATCTGGTCTTGTTACTGTTCTGAAATCTCTGAGGGATCCAAATCCTAGCAAGCGATTGCTCATTCATTCAGCTGTTTCAGCACCTACTCTGCGTCAGGCTCAGAGGATGGAAAGGTGAGCAAACCCCCACGTGGTCCACAGCCACCATCTCACGGAGAAGTGAGACCCCTCAGGGGGCAGATATGACCCAATGTGAAAATGCTTCAAAGGTGGGGTGCGGTAGAGTGCTGAGCTGGTGGGAGAAGCACCTGCTCTGGGGACTCAGGGACCCCTTTGTGGAGGTTGAATGGAGTTCACCAGGCAAAGAACAGCGAGGATTCCCAGGTAGAGGGAACAGCATGTGCAAAGGCCCAGAGCTGAGAGAGAGGCTGGCCATCCCTGACCCTTGACTTCGCTCTCTGGCTTCTGAGCCAGGCAGAAGCCTGGGAAACTTGTCTTGGGTTCATTGTGGGGGATTTTGGAGAATTTTGACAGAATTCAGCTGAGTAAAAGCCAAAGTTCTTACAAAGGCTTATAAGACCCTGCACAG